GTTATGAGACTGACATAAAATAACTCTGATTTTGAAAGCAAGAAAGAAAACCAAATGATACATCTTTATTCAGTAAGCTACGTGGTGCCTTGCAACCACCATGGTGTTTTTTTCATCCCCCAAAACCGAGGAAGAGTCAACACGTTGACAGCCTTTGTACTGAGCAATCTGTACAACAACAGGGATAGCATGAGTGTTATGCAAGTCGTTCTTCTCCTGCCAAGTGCCTGGTTCAGCAATTGTTCAAAGTAATAACAATGCTGAAAAAGTGCATTTACAACCTGTTCTTGAACCTAGGTCTGTTACATCATTCTTGTGGTCAAATGCAGCCAGCTTCACAGCCAGCTTCTGAGAAACAAAGTCAATGGGAAGCCGGTAGGAAATCAAAAGTCATGTCCATGTGATGTCGTGCTTATCTCGCAGTTATTTGGTTAACCACCACAGTGGAACGACCGACATCAGTCCAACGCAGCCTTGTGTTACTTCACTTAATGAGAATATCATTTAGCGATGGAGTTGCCAGTCCTAATTTCAATAATGGCAGACTACCTGTAGTCTTTTTGTCACAGAATTCATTTAGGGGTTGTATTATTTTTGCGTTTTGTAAGTTTCTCACAAACTAATTTTCCTATGCCCATAAGTTGACTGGTTGAGTAAATCCTTTCCACACACAGTATATTTATGATTTCTCACCAGTGTGGATCTTCTTGTGGGAACCGAGGTCACTCCTGGTTGGGAAGCTCTTTCTCACACTCCAGGCATTTATATGGTTTCTCTCCGGTATGGATGCCTTTATGGGAAAGAACAGTTCTACTATTGTGGAAACCTGATCCACAATTTACACATTTATATGGCTTTTCTCTGTGTGAAATATTGGAAGTAGATTGTTGTTATTACTATAGTCCAGTGATGGCGAACCTTTTAGAGACCGGGTGCCCAAAACCCGCCCTCCTGCCCCCGCTCCACCTCCCGCCCTGCCTGCTCTGCCCCCCCACCTCCTGCCCCACCCGCCTGCAGGGCCACGCACCACCTCCATGGCCTGCTGCAGCAGATCACCAGGCAGCCCTGCGGCACCATGGTAGCCATGCCCTTTGCCCATACCCCGCAGCATCATCTGCACGCTATGGGATGCGAGGGCGGAGTCTTGTCCCTGTTGCCCGGGGGCGACTATCCTCCAGGGGGGCTGCTGGTGAGGAGGGGGCCGTGGGGGGAGGCGGGGCTGGGGCAACGGCGTGCATGCCCATAGAGAGGGCTCCAAGTGCCGCCTCTGGCACCCATGCCATAGGTTCGCCACCACTGCTATAGCCCTTTCCACAGTCCATGCATTTGAATGGTTTTAAAATAGGATCATATGAATTCTCTATTAATGCAGAAACCCTTTCCAGTCTACAAGCTTACCTGACTTCTCCCCTGAGTGAATCTTTCTATGTTTATTAAGTGCATTACTTTGTATAAAGCTTTTTCCACACTCACTGCATTTATGTGGTTTCTCCCCTGTGTGGATCCTCTTGTGACGACTAAGATGACTGCTGCTTTTGAAACTCTTTTCACATTCCATGCATTTATATGGTTTCTCCCCTGTGTGGATTCTTTTATGGGAAGTCAGGGTACTTAAATTAATGAAGCATTTCTCACACTCGGTGCATTTGTATCGTTTTTCCCCAGTGTGGATCCTTGCATGGGAAAGAAGGGAACTTGAATTAGAGAAGCATTTCCCACATTCATTGCATTTATATATCTCCCCCGCGTGGATCCACCTGTGTTGATAAAGCACACTACTGGTTATTAAACTTTTCCTGTACTCCGTACATTTCTTTGGTTTCTCCTCGGTGTGGAAATTTTTATGGGAAGCCAGAAAACTTGAAGCTGTGAAACACTTTCCACAATCCTGGCATTTATATGGTTTCTCACCTGTGTGAATCCTATTATGGGAAATAAGGCTTCTGGCAAAACGGAAAGTCTTTTTACATTCCTTGCATTCATATGGTTTTTCTCCTGAATGGATCCTTTTGTGGGAAGTAAGATAACTTAAGTCTCTGAAGCTCTTTCCACACTCCAAGCATTTATATGGTTTTTCCCCGCTGTGGATCCTTTTATGAGAAGTGAGGGAACCGGACATAGTGAAGCATTTTCCACACTCCTGGCATTTATATGGTTTCTCCCCTGTGTGGATCCTTATATGGTAAGTAAGGGGTTTTGCAGAACGGAATCTCTTTCCACACTCCATACACTTATATGGTTTTTCTCCTGTGTGGATCCTGTTATGATCAGTCAGGATCTGAGAATTGTTGAAGCTCTTTCCACACTCCTGGCATTTATATGGTTTCTCCCCAGTGTGGATCCTTTTATGCGAAATAAGATTTCTTGAAGAACTGAAACTCTTTCCGCACTCCTGACATTTATATGGTTTCTCCCCAGTGTGGATTCTGTTGTGTACAATGTAATGAATTTTTTGCCTAAAGCTCTTCTCGCAGTTCTTGCACTGATATGGTTTCTCTCCTGTGTGGATCTTTTTGTGGCGAGTGAGGGATCTGGAACTAGTGAAACTCTTTCCACACTCTTGGCATTTATATGGTTTCTCTCCGGTGTGGATCCATTTATGCTGAGTGAGGGAACCCGAGAGAGTGAAGCGTTTCCCACAATCTTGGCATTCATATGGTTTCTCCCCTGTGTGAATCCTATTATGGGAAGTTAGGCTTGTGGCAAACTGAAATCTCTTTCCACATTCTTTGCATTCATATGGTTTTTCTCCTGTGTGGATCCTTTTATGGGAAGTAAGATGACTTGAGTCTCTGAAGCTTTTTCCACAATCTGGGCATTTATATGATTCTTCTCCAGCTTGTATTCTGTGACATAAAGTAAGAGGAATGGTTCTTCTGGAGCATTTCCTGCTTCTATTTTGTTTTTCTACCGTGTGGCTTCTGGAACAGTCACATAATTCCAACTCATCTCTGAATACTTTTCCACACTGTGGACACACTCCTTTTTCTTGGTGGTCACCTTCAGCCAAGAAGACACTGACATCTGCACAATGAGAAGGAGAGCATTTTTCCAGCCTCCCTTTTAACTGGTTTTCCTCAGAATTTTCGTTTCCAAACATCCTTTCCATAACTTCCTTTTTGACTTTTGGAAAAGGTGCTACTGCCTCTTGGCCAGAATGCTGTATCTGCCATCCATCACCTGTTTGGAACAAGAAAAAAAAGGAAAGTTGGCACAAACTTGAATTATGAATGGGATCAAGCATCAATATTGCATTCCTCATTTGAAGGTTACCAAAAACCCAACACCATCTCTTCTTCCTTTTAGCCCTTTGTTGTGATTTTTCTCCCTGCTTCTGTCACGAGTATGTTGAAAACATGGGGCTACACCAAGGGGCTGCACTTGTATTAAGTTGATGTAAGACAGTGGTGGCGAACCTATGGCACGGGTGCCAGAGGTGGCACTCAGAGCCCTCTCTGTGGGCACACACGCTGTTGCCCCAGTCTTCGGCCTTCAGCTGGGTTTTATAAAACCTTTTCGCTTTAGACCTTCATTGCCGTGTGGAAAAAAAAAGGTTCAATCAATCAATCAATTTCAGCTTTTCACGGGAAAAAAAAAGGTCTTGCAAAGTTGGAATTGATTGATCGAACTTTTTAATCCCACCCAGTCTGCCGTTACCACCGCAGCCACACTCACCCAATGGGCCACACCCAGCCAATGGGCCACACCCACCCGGCACCCGACGATGAATAAGTGGGTTTTGGGTTGCAGTTTGGGCACTCGGTCTCTAAAAGGTTCGCCATCAGTGATGTAAGATCTCCCGTAGGCTTCTCTCTTGCCCTGCATTCTACAAAAGGCAAACCTAAATTCTTTGAGGAAAATTATTCTGAGTCTCACTTTGGGGCATCATTATCTCTGCTGTTCCTTCAGATTCAGTTCCAAGGAAGCAAGAGGGAATCTTAAACAGAGCCTATGTTCGCTAATGGACTTGATAAGGGAGAACATTTTGGTTTAATTTTCATCTGAGAAAAGGAAAGTGTGGGGACCTGAGAACTGAGGTCCAGCTTTCTTTTCATGAGGAAGATCTCCCCTGAAAAAAAAAAATGGTTCTCGGTCTGAGTTAACTTAAGAAAAGGAAGCAAGTGGGAGGAGGAGCCATCTGGGTGGAATGTCCCATGTCTTGAATAACCATCCCATCAAGACAGGCCAGTTCTCTATCAGTCACATCCTTGTGATGCTCCTGTGTGATTAATCAGGTTCCCAAATGCCATTGTTTCAGACAGATGACATAAAAAGAGGAAGAGAACGCTTAACGTTACCTACAAAGTAGGACAGACAGGTTTGGAAACTAGACGAGAGGATCCCTTTTCCTCTTTCTAGCGAGCCGTGGTGGTGCAGTGGTTAGAATGCAGTACTGCAGGCTACTTCTGCTGACTGCCAGCTGCCAGCAGTTTGGCAGTTTGATTCTCACCAGCTCAATAGTAGTAACTGTGAGAGGGAACTCGGAGTCCTAGTGGACAATCACTTAAATAGGAGCCAGCTGTGTGCTGCAGCTGCCAAAAAGCCCAACAGTGCTGGGCTGCATTAACAGAGGAATAGAATCAAGATCACGTGAAGTGTTAATACTACTTTACAATGCCTTAGTAAGGCCACACTTGGAATACTGCATCCAGTTTTGGTCACCACGATGTAAAAAAGATGTTGAGACTCTAGAAAGAGTACAGAGAAGAGCAACAAAGATGATTAGGGGACTGGAGGCTAAAACATATAAGGAACGGTTGCTGGAATTGGGTATGTCTAGTTTAATGAAGAGAAGGACGAGGGGG